GCGATTTTTCCAAAACACAAGACTTTTAGAAAATTATTTAGCAAAAATCTGAAAAAGCAGCTGAAAAAAAGAAAAAAAATTGCATAAGTTGGCAAAAAGTTTGCCCTATTTTCTGGTTACTAGTGCTCCTCCGAAAGTCTCATACAAAAGTTTTTAAAAAATTAGGACATGGTAAAAACGAATGGTTGCAATTTCCAGCGAATCTCTCATCACTCTTTCAACGAAACACAATGGGAGACTGGCATCTGAGAAAGGAAGAAATTTTGCATCGGATACATTTTGAAGTGTTAGTTTATCTTCATTGTAACGTGTTTGCCGATGGATTGAAAAAACTGACAAAACTTTTGCACCTTCCTGTTATAAATAAAACTCAATGTCTGTAAGGTTCCGGTTTATTTGAAGGTGTTTTATAGAAGCGCCCGCCGTTGAACCGATTGAGCTGGAACTTTGCACACTTATATATGCGGACCCTGCGCAAACTAAAGGCTACTTTTTAAGGCGATTCGCAGGACCCTTCCATCGATTTATCGATTTGTTTACTTGCATCTAAAGAAAAGAGAGCTTCTCATGGTCTGATCAATCATCTCCCAATAAACATGTAAGCAGGGGCGGTGAACCTCATTCTGATCTTAAAGTCAGCAGAATGCGGCAGTTCGTCTCAAAGCGCTTTTCGCGGATTGTGAAACCGGGATCGCAAGCTAGTCAATAATGTTTTTCAATTAGTGCCTCTTGAGATACAGCTTAAGCAGCTTCAAGAGACTTCAAACCTTGTACCGTCCGCGTAGGTGGTACAAATGCGAACTCGTGCGACTCGTTTTTCTCGTACACATGGCCGCAGACTTCTTGTCTGCATTTTTTCCAATCATAAAGCCTCCGACGAAGGAGAGCGTTGGATTGCGCAAGATGTTCTAACCTCTAACAATGTCGGACAGCGAATTCAAGAGCGCGAAAGTAGTTTTTCCATCGCAGTGCCTGAGGCAAATAGCGGCAGTATGGATAAGTGCATGCCGCGTTTTTTTGCCACGTTTTTTTTACTTGATAGAGTTTCTGCGCCTTTGTTTGTCAGTCAACTTTACCTGATCTTAGCTTTAGACACAATTACCGTAGTCCTTGCACAGCAAATTAGTGGACCGTGCAGTCTTGTGTCGTACATCTCACTCATAAGAAGTATTACCAGGTGTCAGGCACAGTTTGCTAACTGCTGTTGATCTTCAAGGCTGCTTAGGCGGGTTCATACTGATTCTCATGTTCCGGAACTATTCCCGCACTGTCCCCGCACTGCGCTGGAACTGTTCCGGAACTGTGATGCATGCGCTGCAGCCGCCCCGCACAAGTTTTGACCGGCGGATGTTGGAGAATTTTGACCGTTTCCAACGGTTTTTCTTCCAGATTTCTTTCATTTTGGTCTTAATCCTCTATCCCGCTTCCCTTTTTATTCAAAAGAATTTCAAATTTGAAGCGGGGTTAAAGAATGAGCGCTTTTCTGCTCTGCGTATGCGACAAAACGTGTGTTCTTGTGCCCGTCCATCTTCTCTTTGCTTTATTTTTACTCAGGCCCTATTCCCTTTGTTTCAGGAAGCCGCTGCGTAGTTTCCATAGCCATCTGCCAATTAGAGGGTGCGAACAATTCTGAAATTGCATAAATTGGGATCGTTTTTGGGCATTCTCAGCCCCTTTCCTTTTTCCATATCTTGCTTCTCCATTCTTTCTTCTATCCCGCTTCTCCTTGTGATGAGAAAAGCTGTGAACTTCAAGCGGGGTTAAGGATTGAACGTTGTTCTGCTCCATGTATCCGAGAAGATGGGCCTTCGTGCGCCGGTCCATCTTCTCTTCCATTTTTGTTCAAGCCTACTTCATATGTTGTAGGAAGGCGCTGCGTAGTCTCGCATCTGTATTGAAAGGAACATAGGCGAGTCTCTAGAAGACATAAAGTCTGAGCAAAAATAATGAAGAGAGAATGGACAAGCTCACGACGGCCATTTTCCCGAACACATGGAGCAGGAACAGCGGCGGCTGCAGCACGTGCAACAGTTCCGGATCAGTACCAGCACAGCGTGGGAACTGTGTGGGAATAGTACCGGAACGTAGGAATCAGTATGAACCCAGCCTTAATGTTAAGTTCTGCAAATACCAAACTTTTTTGGAGACAGAATGATCTTTGCGGAGTCATGAGGTGATTATGCTCGTGGCTGGGGCTGTTGCGTTCGGCGGAGATTTTGTGACGGCAGAGTTGCTTTACCATTTCATTTGCTTCTACAGGCTGAATGCGTTTTTGGCATTACTTCAAAACTTTCACTGTTGTTATGCATAATTTTGGAGTAGACCCTTTGACCAGCTAAGACATGCTGCATGCTTGCTTTTCCGTACCATGTAATTTAAGATGCTAATCGAATCACCTGCGCATTTAAGAACGCGACAGATTATTCCTGAGCCCTTCAAACAGAGTTTAATGTTCGGGAGTTCTCAGATTATATATCTATTTTTGAGAGCTTTGGGAAACTTCCTTGGGGCCACGTTCCTCAAGAAGTTTTTGCAATGAAAACCCTTTGAGGACTTCATTTGCAGGGCTTTCTGAAGGCTCTTTAGGCAAACCTTTGTGTAGGTGACAAAACCGTAGTTACGAAACACCTTTCACCTTTTTAAAGCGCCCCTTACCACTCTCTACTTGTTTATTAAATCTATGCTGTCTCTGAGCCCCAGAAAGAACGATAGAATACCGAAGCCATTTTCATTCTCAGTCCCCAAGATTTTGAAAATTCTTTGGTACCCTTCACGGAAATAAGCCAAACGCACCTTTCTTCAAGGTCGAAGCCTGATACTTATCGGTCCGCCCATGTCTCCTTTTCTCTGCCTTCCTTCAGCTAAATAATTTGCAAAGAAGTTGAGCACGAATTTTATTCACATGAGTTCTTTGAATTTCCAGTCACATTTCGAGGTCCCTCATGCTCATTGCACACCTAATATAGAGTTTCATGTCAGTGCGTTGTGATTGTAAAAAGGCGTACGTTTTTTTGAGCATTGCTACACTTTCCGCGCTATACGATGATGTATGAAACATATAATAAAGGGCCTCATGTGGACTTGTACAAATCGGAAAGGAAGTTTGAATAGGCAACTTCGAATGTAAGGTTCGATTATGCTGTATTGCTTTTCTCATTCATTCTATTCTGGATCTCAGCCGCGGACCCCTCAAAATGACACCTCCTTTGCTTTCTCCATATAAATCCAACTTGACCATTTCAGCTGTGCTGAGCCTCGAGGGTTTTTTTCTTCTTGATGCTTTACATCCACTAATCTGTGCTATCCAAGCGGACAGCACAGATTAGTAGAGTAAATAAAAAATTGTAACTAATCTTGGTGGTGTAGCTTGGAACTACAATCTGCAAGTGACAAAAAATATTCTTCTTAGCTCACCAACGCTTTTGTATGCATAGAAGCATTCAAAATTGTTGTGCTCATGAGCATTTTGTCGAAGATATCTTCTACACCTTTACCACGATACAATCTCACCGGTTGGCCGTGACTTTGACGTTACAAAACTCGCCCTGGTTGAAATGACCATAAATTCAAAAAAGTGTCTGATCCTGCACATGCTTACAGTATGTCCCATTTGGAATAAGACTAGGTTGGAAAAAAGGTTTATATGAGCATGCTGATTGCAAATATTAGGTTGTTAACTAAGTTTTGCAACTGAGTTCGTAACTCTCGCTTTTTGATATTGGCGCGCTCAAATTCTGACATTATATAGACTACTGTGTGTGCTATAAACTGGCCTAAACCTTTCTGATGACAGTAGAAAAAAATCCACTGCTTTTTGAAAACTGGTGAAATTCGAGGATTCATGGAATCTAAAATGAAAATGAAAATACTAATATCATCTTCATTCACCAAAATCAACGCCTCTTGTTTAAAGTGAGACTCCATACCGCAAACCTACTATAACTTTACAAAAAGCCTCTACCATGCGAAACAGATATCGTCGTTTTCGTGACCAGCATGTCAGCTAACCTACCTATGCAAAGTTTTGGCCAAATTAGTAGTAAATTATAATTTTTCCCCTTATACCATATACTACCTACCAGTGGCATACCCAGGGTTTCGGCTCGGAGGGCGGGGGAGGGGGGGCGACAAAAATTTTTTTTCTAATGAAGGTGCGTGGCGTAAGCCACGCACTCCGAAAAATTTTTTGGTATGCTTTCTAAAATTTTCGCGACCTTATAAGCCACGCCCCCAAAATTTTTTTTCTAAGGCTGAAATGAATTTTTTAAAAAATTTAAAAATTATTACAATACAAGTATGAACAAGTCATTTGCACAATTTTATAACTCATGTAAGTAACTTTCAAACATTTTGCGAACCTACCGTAACCCTTACTGCGACGTCAAAATTTTGCAAAACTGTGGCAGCACTTGTAGCTTACTTCATCAACTACATGTCTGGGACTGAGTGCGTTAAATGAGAGAAATTATAAAGGTAATTGCAAAACTCAGTTAACAGCCTGATAATAACCATTCGTGCACTTTTACCGGTTGTATCGAAAAAAAACTTTGACCTACATGGATGAAAGTTGGTACAAGGTTAAGGGGTAATTGAGCATACTAATTACGAACGCTTGGAGGGGGAGGCAGACTTGCACGTGAAAGCTGGACAGGGACGAAAAATGATGTTGTTATTAACGCACACTGCTTTGTTCACGTACTAAACGTAAGAAAATAGTGTAATTTTAGGAATTAGCTCTCTATATAATTGCTCCTAATTCCCTATCAACCTATGGGCCAATGATTCATCCTCTACAATCTACGCACTTGGTAGCTGATTACAACCTTTCAAAGCTATAACATTCTTGAGTTTGAGCAGCTTCGAAAGCTCACAATAATCATACTTCTGTGAAGCTCATCGTCGAAGTTGTAATAATGAAGCTACTTCTGAGCAAATTCTTTAAATGTAAGAATCTAGAGGGCAGGTACACGAACACTTTTACATTTTCGACGTTTGATTTCAGATTTTGAATGAATATCGTCCACCTTAAACTGCTTTTACTCTGCAATGTTCTTGCAACTTGTTTTGGGCGGTTACCTTTGGAGGATATATCCAAGTGAGTTTATGCTTTAGTTTATAAGAAGAGACAGTTAACTATGTCTTTTGTGACTCCAAGAATCAAGCATTGTACTTATGTTGTTGATTTTGAAAAATAAAAGAAAAAATGCTACAATCTTTCTCTGCAATTTGCCTTCTTTATAATGCAAATTGCTTAATGTCGTCAAAATAAATAATTGAGGCTGTCGAAGCTTAGTCTGTTTTATAGAGCCATGCAAAAGTGGTGGTCAGCATTTTAGCAAATGTCGTAAAGTTTGCCACGAAAATACTTTTTGCATATCCCATACATAAAACTTCCAGACACTTTTGCTTTTTTTTAATTCTATGAAAGTTTATTTTGAGCCTGGACACATGTAGGGGAACGAACGCCGCCAGTTTGAGCCCGCCTTCGCTGGCACCTGGTCCTTTTGCAATACTGTTGCATGTCATTGCAGGACCAGTAGTCCGCGGAGGCGGTTGAACCTGGCGGAGTTCGTTCCCCTACCCCAGATGTCGTACAACTATTCAGAGAATCGGTCTCTCCATGTGACAATTACTACCAATATGCATGCTCACAAGGACAATACACCATGCTTCGCGAAACTCTTATAGACGATCTCAACAGAAAACTGGATGAAGAAATAAGCTTACTTCCTGACTGTGGCGCTGCATTTGTAAGCCTATTTTTAACAATTGCTGAAAATTTGATAAGATAATACCTATCTAGGAAAACGTAGTCCTGAAGAACGAAAAATTGGAAAGAGAGGACTTTTATAAGGAACTTTTAAAAAGGTAAGGCGGATTAAAAACTACTTTTTTAAGTAAAGCTCTCCTTTTATAGATGCAACGAGACCAACTTTCTCCAAACTTTTCGCCTTATGGCCTATGAAGAAATTGACGAGATACCCCCGGAAGGTTACTTTACCTGCGAAGAGACTGCGAGTCTTATAGTCGATATAGTAATGCGCGATGACAGAGAGGTTAGTAAGTGCTGCATACAACTTCTAAATAAAGAAGATGTGGATATCATAATTTGCTACTCGACTTTTGCATTCGCAGTGAATGATACAGCTTCTGTATCTCCATTGCTGAAACACAAAAACAAAACGAGCTGATTTCAACTAACCAAACTGTACTCTTGAGTAATAAAGTAGGAGGGAACTGAGAGACGTGCTCAACTTGTAGCCATTCACTTTACATTTAACTCAGTAAGAAAGCTCCTCCTTTTCATTTAGAGCTTATTCCAAAACTAACCGTGCAGAGTCCAAATTTGTTAACACAGTGTCTGACTGCCAACTGAGCTAGTTCTCTACTTAAGCTGCCCTTTGTAGACAACCCATTCTCGCTCTGCAGCCCCTTTATTGCGCTCCCTCGCCTCCTGACGGAGCTCGTAATTTAACCTCCTTTCCTCGTCGGTCATACTTCTCCTTATATAAATTTCGGAGAGGCCACGAGTGCGCAAGAGGTGGGCGTTCCCAAGGGCCAACCGCCAGTAGTACGAGGAAGGGAAAACTACTTTTTACTAGGCGGGAGAGCTCTTCCACAAGCCTACCGATTCGATAAATCTCGCTCGGATTACAATCTAAATCAAGTGCATCAAAAATCTCGTCTACTTTCTTCCTCAGATCTCTTGCACGCCAAGCACGTAATCCAGATGGCGCTTCCGCAGTCCCGCTGATGACTACAGTACGAGAGCACTTTTCGCTCTCCAACGCATCGCGAACTTCTTGGTGAAGTTTTTCGGAGAGGACCGCCAGCATTTTATTGATTACTGGGTCAGTATTCCTCTCTTTGATGCAGTGGATAAGGTCAAATGCTCTCATCTGACTGTAATTTACACCATCAATGTCTCCGAATCACCACATTATGCGGTGATTCGGAGACATTTGGAAGGGTGGGTCTGGGAAGACGACATTTTTTGCTGTTACGCGTTGACCTGGCGGGCACGTTTTGATCGATACAACTGGGTTGAAATCAATGAGCAACAGAAAGACCAAGGGATAATCAAAATAGACCGAAAGATTCAACCCGACACTATAACAAAGGTATAGCCTCTTCTGATCAAAAGATCAGAAGGAAGATCTTCTAAGCAGATTCAAAATTTGAAGATTCAAGGTAATGTGAAAAAAGCGAGAAAAAAAGGAATCGATGAGCGCTCAGAAAATCCGACCGCAGTGGACGGGTACAGAGTACAGAATGACATAGGTCATTTTTTCAAAATCGTTGCAATTTTCAAAAAAAAGACAAAAACAAGAGAAAACAGTTGTTTTTCAGAGCACTGGTGATTTGGTGGAGGTAGTCAGAAAAGTTCGAGATTTTGTCGCCTTGGACAACCTGAGAGAAAAAGACGCTCTCATGTCAGAGGCCTTTCGAAAGTCGCGTAAACTATTCGAAGCCATCAGAGGAAGATATCTGAATTTTATCAATGTAAGATTTTGCAGCATACCGTTCTATAATTTTTAATTATGTTCATCTTATGTGCGCTTCAATAGCGGTCGTGGTCATTCACTTATTAACAAAGATAATCATTTACGAAGATTTCCAGGAACGTCGTAGAGACGCTCAAATTTTCCCTGGTTCTAGAAAGTAATTGGAGGGCCACATACATCACGCGATTCTCCCGACAGGACAACTGTTACGAGTATATTGCATGCCGATCGTCATTTCGGTTGTGATAGTCATTCGCTATTACCCGAGTCAAAAACCGGCCCCCAAAAAACATAATATGAAACTCGACTGAAGTTTTAAATTGAAAATTTGCAGTCAAATGCGTATCCCTTGCTAAAGTTGGGACTTCAGAGCACCACTAACCTGCATCCTAACGCTTGGTATGAGAAAGCCGAAAGCTTGACAGTGGAATTCCCAATGAGAATCAAGAAGTTTTTCACGACTGATACCTTAGAGCTTTTCAACAATGAGTACAACTATTGCTTAGAAAGGTAAATTTTACTAATTCGAAAAAAAGCATGTAATGTAAAAGTTTCTTCAGAATCCTCGATGTGGACAGCCGGGAAAGAACATTTTGCTTCTCTCGCGCTTGGCGTATAGCTAGAGGGTGGACTCCGCTATCAAGAAATATGGAAGAGTTTGTTCATAATTTGAGGGGTCTTGATGTAAACGAACACGATGGACATGTTTACGTAAGGCCTGCGTACGTCATGCTACTCAGTAATGCCTTTATGAGCCGCGATTATGCAGAAGAACCAGTTATCGTATGTTTCATTGTCATGAATCTACTTGTGAGATTGCGCACTTCTTTTAGATGGGAAGCCTTGGATTTGAGATCATCAGGGAGGTGACTCGTGCAAGTTACAACATTCCAGTGGTAACACGCAGATGCTTTCAAAAGCTGAGAAACTTCGGCGAGTTCACGGTAAGATATTCTGTTCAAGATTGGCTGCCTGCGTTTCAGTGTTCCCTTCTTCTAGATATCTACCTGATATCTCAGGTTGTTCCAAATAAACTTTTTTTAGATACTTCAAGCTGTTTTTGCTTTCGTGATAGACCTAGGGTATCATTCGATAAAGCAGATGCTCCACAAGTTGCCACCAAGGGTAAAGGGGTACGTTTGAGTCGCATTCCATGTAAAGTTTGAAGCCAAAATTGAAGAAAGTCACCTGGGAATTGGATTTTCGCGAGGAAAAACCCTGTGGAACTCTAACTTGGTCATCATAAGTAGGCACATAATAGTACTCAAACATGCCTTTACTGGATTTTCCGACAGAAAAGAAAAATAAACTAGTCCAAAAACTCCGCCCCCCGACCTCTCCCACATATGTCATTGTATACTACAAGCCTTATTGAGTACGTCTTGAAATTTTACCCTTGCATGTGCTCTTATAATCGAGAAATACCAGTTTTACATGAAAACGCGGCGAAAGTAGCATTTTGGCATTTTCGGACCATCTTTGTTTCTCAACCTTGAGCCCCGGAAAAAATCCACCAAATAATTTTTGGGCACTATTAAGCGTTTATTATGTAAAGACTAAGTCGGAAGTCTAGGAACTTGAAGGAGATCCAATTTCTAGAGTAGCGAGAAATTTTGATTTTTGGCTTCAAATTTTGCCTGGCTTACGACTTACGTTAGTTAATCCTTGGTGATCTTTTTATAGAGCTTGCTCCGCTCTATCTAACGGTACCCTAAGTCTGTTAGAAAATCACAATCCGTGCATTTTGAAGAAGGTTTTGGAGCTTCTTAATTTGCGGATCTTGTGTGCTATCGCAGAATCAATGGAATTTCGCGACATTTTCGAAGTTTTAGCGCGTTCTGATAGCGGCACTGTAACTCTCATAAACTAGCTTCTGTAAAGGCTAAAATATGGTTGTACGCGGTTAGTCGGCTTGACAAACAGTGAATGTTTGTTTATCTATATGTATATGTCTGTATATCTGTATATAGGTTTGTACGTAGGTTCCGATTAGCAATTTTTATTTATCAACCGATCAGGACCAATCTTTGCACATCTACACTTTGGGACTTGAAGGACGTCATATGCTACTTTTCGTATCGTTGATAGCTTAATTGTTTGCAAAGTGGCTGAATTGGCACCGGGAGGAGTCAAGTGTACATGCTGATTACGAATACGGTATCAGTTCTCAAAAAAACTCATCACCTTTGTTGATTTTATCAGCTTTTTTGCAAAACTTGAGCTACGGAAATAGGAGTTGGCACAGGGGGATTGGTGAGCATACCACGAATACTATAACCACTTGTAAGAATATTCACCTTCGATCGATATTGTCGATTCTTTGCAAACTTTGAGCCTAGGGCTGCGAATTGGCGCAGTGTGTAAGTGAGCATGCTGATTACAAAATCATAGCCTATATAGGGTACTGGCATATAAAAACGGACAGGGACTAGTAGTGATGTACAGAAACAGTGAAAAGGACCTTTATCATAGTGTGTTGACAGGGCCGGGCAAAGCCGGCTATGCCTGCTAGTTCTCTATCATTTTGTGATATTCCTATTTGTCAGGCTGATCCTATGGATGAACAGGGAGAAAGCAACTACATCTATAACATTATAGCTTTGCGAGCAATACAAACGGCTCTACCAGATAGCACTGTGAGTTGCGCCAATCTGGCTAGAGTTGCATTACTTATTTTAGGATGAGAAAGACTTGAAACTACTGCTTTCTGTCAGCCCGCTGATCAACTGTGCCGACGAGGTACGCGTAGATGAGTTCCAAACTCTCGAAGTCACTTCTTTTTTCTTTTTAGCACAGAAGCTTGATGGTAAACCACATATTTGCTCGAAATATGGACTTTCAAAAAATATTTGATTGTGATGAAACTGCTGCAATGGTGATGTCGCAGGTAGGTTTGCCCTGTGGAGCATTGTAAGCTCAATGCCACTTGTTCAACTGTGACTTACAAGAAAATGGTCAGAAGTCGAAGTGACCATTCCAAACGAGCTGCACACTACTGGATGCAGCATAGAACACTGACTTCAAACCTTTTTTCCATATATGCTGGACTCCTTTGGAAGCTATGAGCAGTCTTATTGCAAGAAAATTGTATATAAAAATAGGGAAAATAAGGCACATTATTGCCCTTCTCTTTACATATGAGCTATAAAGAGTAACCTAGCTGCATGTATTTGCTCAGCATTGGGCTGAGTATGGTACGGTGCAGCCAAATTTGCAATTCGCATTCGCGATTTTTTAGCAATATAATGGCTTATAATGACGTATAAATTCGTCCACAAAGGCGCTCAGCAGATACGGAAAACAGGTTCAGAGTCAGCATTCAATTCTGCAACTTATGGCATGCAGCTTTTTGAGTTGGCCATTTCGACCTCTGACCATTCCCTTGATAGCTCCTTTTCTATGCAAAATTCTTGACATAAGCCCACAATATCAAGCAATATCATGAGAAGCTTTGACAGTACTCTGTGCTTCCATACTTAAATCAATTCCAGAAAGTTTTTTTGCAGGAGAAATGCGATTTGCTTTGACTTGAACGTCGACGAAAAAATTGAAATTATAATAATGACAATATAACAATGAAATTTATATGCAATAAATATCGCAATGTTTTGATGTCGTTACTACGAACAAAACAACGAGCTGTAATGACTATTTTTCTCGCAAGTTGCACGATGATCACGGAAAGGGCGTGCAATAATGGCCATAGGACTTTCACTGACTTGTTCAGCTTGCACAAGATTGGTATATCTTTTTATTAGACCGATGTTTCGGCAATATCGCCTTCTTCGGGGTCTGAAAAAGTCGTGACCATGTAAACTGTCCAGTTGGCAACTTCGTCACGATCAAGCAAATTTTCCAATCTGTTAGCGAATCAAAAGAATGCAAATCACAAGATCGAGTCATTGCTCTGTCAACAATTCAATGCTGATACATTATCCCAACGACTGACCACCATTCTTTCAGATCTAGCAAGTTGGTCTCGGCCTGCTGTTGCCGGGGAAGCCACAGAGGCTCTGGTAAGGAGCCAGTTCTTGTGAAATGGCCAAGCACTCATCTTTTTTATTCATTTTCGGGCTTTCCGTCGCGATCCAAAACGCTTCTAAAGTTTTGCGCGTTAGGATTTCGGGCTCATAAGCTAAGATTGTGACCTCCACACTTAAATTTGCGTCTTCGTGGCGCTGTCTGCGGTGCATGCCCAACGGCGTGGTGGGATTTGATCTTCTAAGCCCATCTAAGTGTTCCTTTATGCGTGTGCACAATGGGCGTCCGGTTTCACCTACATACGATTCTTTGCATGATTGGCATGTAATACGGTACACTACACCAGAAACCATACAATCACCTTGTTTGCCAAACGGGTAAATCCTACAGCTGGGAGTCGTACATAGTCTGTCATACGCGCGATTGCGAACAAGTTGATGCTTGAGATTAGCAGGCGGTATGTCGACGACTCTTACCCAGTCTTCTAGCTCCGCTCGCTGTAATAACTTTCTGACTACCATACTCAATTCTTCTGACCCAAATGGCAAGCAAAATGGAATCTTAATTTCAGTTTCTGCTTTTTCGGTATTATTTTGTCGGCGCTTTCTATGTATGCGTTTTTTGATAGGGTACCCATTTGATTTTGCTATCGTATCAGCCAGTGCTAATGAATAGATCTTTTCTTTGCTTCCGGACGAGACGTTTGCAGCTGTTCTGTACTTATTACCTATTACAGACTTTTTTATGTGAACGGGATGAGCTGAAACGTGGTGCACTAACATATTTTTACTACTTGGCTTGCGATACCACCTCGTCTTGAGTTCATCGTCCATTAATCGAATTTCAATATTTGGAAATGCTAACCAGTCATTCGTGGGCATGTCTCGAGTCAATCTTATATGCGGAAATTGCTGATCCAATATCTCGTAACAGAGGTCAAGTTCGACCTGCGTGGGACATACGATAAAACAGTTGCCTACGTAACGATAGTACAGCAAAGGTTTTCTTTCGAGAACAGGCGTCTCTACTTTCGACATAAACACGATAGCTAGCGTCGGGGCTAAACGTTATCCCATGGCAAGGCCTCTAATTTGCTTATAATAGTGTCCGGACCACCGAAATATTGATCATTGAAGGCACTCATTCGGTAGGGTCATTATATCTCTGATAGAAACGCCTTGTGAATCAAGCGAGGATTGGTGTTCTTGCAACAGCTCAAAAATAGCTTCCATAGCATCGCGGTTTGATACATCAGTGTAGAGCGCATTTACGTTGAAGGATTCTACAACGCTCTCTTGATCTATGCACGTACTGCGTAGGCGATCCAAAAACGCAGCAGTATTAGGGAGGTGCGAAGGGACATAGGACTGCTGCTCACAGGCACAGCTAAAAAGTGGGAACATCATTTGCCAAGAACATTTACTTCGCAGTTAAAGGCACTGTCCGGACAAGGTGGGGGGGGGGGGGTTGGGATTTCAGTGCATGCAAAGGCCCCCCTCAGACACAGCATCGGCAAGTGCGACGTTATAACGTCCGACCTAGAGCAGGAGAAACGGTCGGAAGTGGGGAAACGTACGCCTTGGGCGGGGTCCTCCCCACCTGTTTGAATTTCTGCTTTGCGGCAGAGTACGCATGCCGGCACAGTCAAAATCGTAGGGTAGCGTAGCGACTCTGCGTCTTTGCCTTGGTGGAGCCGTCAAATTTCAAATTGTGCGGCTTTGGAAAACGTGGGTTCTCGCCGTTCTCACGCCTTCTGATTTGGATTTTCGGATTCTGTGTTGCGGATAACCCAAGGGTAAGTGAATTTCTCAAAAATCAAGTTTTTGCCCGGACACTGCCTTCAAAATAAAAGTCAACATGTTTCGCAACCCAAGAAATTGTTGATTCCCGCAATCATATTGCAGGCATATAGCTGGCAGTTACGTGTAAATTCAAGGAACGTAACTTGCAAAGCTTTGCAGAAGGTTTAGGACTAGCACAGGCAAGCGAAGATATTGAAAACGGCTAAAATAGTTCGAATTCTTGCCATGCTATGGAAACCTCTACGAATATCAATTTCTTCGGCAACATTACCGAACGAAAACAAGGTCAATAAAGCAGAATCTGTGTTTCTGTCTATGTGTAAGTACGTATGTTCCGAACAGAATATTTATTTATCAACCGATCCGGACCAAACTTTGCACACATACACTTCGGGGCGGGGTGGACGGCGTGGACTACTCTTCATTATCGAATGTCGATTCCACCGATTTTTCGCAAAGTTTGGCTACAAGGATGGGAGGTGGTACAAGGGTGTAAGCGAACATGCTGATTACGAATATAGTAGTGACAGGCGCGGCGGAGTCAGGTTTGCCAGCTAGTCTCCTAATAAAACATCTGTAAACAACATTTATACACCCTGCACGACTGTTTGGTCCTGCAGTGCAACAGAAAACTGAGCCTGGTGCGATGATATAGTGCAAGTGATGCGCCTTTGAGTCTTCGGTTCCCTTTCTGAATCAAAATTCAGCCCTTAATACTCAAGATTTTCAAAATATCCACCATAATCTTAGGGTAACAAAGAGCAAGATGGTTCGCTCCACACTGTAAAGTGAAGCTGAAGCCAGCTCTACAACTTGGTACCTGAAAGGCAAAAAAAGTGAGTTTTCAGAAAGATAGTAACGATCAAGATACCGAATCTAAACAACAGCCATTGTTGTAGGTCATCTATACCTTGCACACAAAATAGAGCAACAACGCTAAATAAGGAAAAGAATCAAGAAACTGCTCACAAAAGCTAAAAGGAAAAGATCTTGACGACAGCACAAAAGTGCGCTGCGTGTGCGTTCGCGGAGAAACCTAAGAGAAGCTGGGCGGGACAGAAACTTTATAACAGCACGCTCGTGTATAATATGTTATCGTAAACGATTGTAGAAACACTTGAGAATGGGTAGACAGCGTGAAATCCAGAATCTTGAAGCTTCAGGATATGAAGCTTTTTACTAACAGGGGCAGCGATTAAATTAACTCAACCTTTTAGCGAGGGGATATATATTATGAAAGGTTCGAACGCTAATTTCAAATATGTTATTCCTCGCTGCCGCGCACCATTCCAAAGTGAGTTACAAGCTTTTACCTGCACAAAGTTGGTGTGCTCATCGACTTACTGACAGTCAGAAATAGCATATTTGGAATCAGCGTTTGCTGATTCAGAATATATAAACATAAATATATATATATGTCCCTTGCCAAAAAACCAAGCTAAGTTAGGTAGCTTTCCTTATGAGCTGTGCTTCTCTCCTGGCTGGAATTCATGTGCGTCCGTCAGTATTGCAGTCGGAAATGGAATATTGGCAATCGTTTTACGTGGAATCTGAAGTCATGAGCTGTCAACAAGAGGAATCAATTAGGCCAGTTCTGTACATTGCAGGCTACGATTTCTTCTAACGAATGTCTTAATCGTTCTGGCGATTATCTAGCTAGATACTCGGCTTCGGTCGGTTCCTGTCAACATAACATGAGAGAATTTGCCATTTCGTATTACTTTCTTACAATATTTAACCGTCTCCACTCCACTTCCATATTCAGCCCTCTGCCACTTATGTTTTCGTGATCTTCTTTTTGGCTTCCGCCAACCAACACTTAGATTGAATAGGGTACCAGGTTTAAGGCTGGTCCATAAGTCTTGCACTAAATTAACCCACTGACGACGATATGGACCACCCACCGGTGGTCAGCGCACTTTCAGACTCATGCAGAATAGTTTTGAGAAGTAGCTCTTGTAAAAATTCTAAAAAACACAATTGTGTTCATAAGGCTTATTATAGTATCGCTACAAATGAAAAAACTTAGGATTGCTTTGAAAAAGGCACGAAACGTTGATTTGTCGATTTCTAGCCGATGAAAAAATAAGCAAATGTACGCATGTATGTCTTGTGTATGCTTAACTTCTCGCTCATGAGTCCCCATAAAAGGCGTTGTCGTAGGCATACCTTCAATACATAGAGCCACGTACTCTGGTAACCTTCACTTTGAGTGTCATGAGAGGACACAACCTTCACCTGGAGAGGAATACAGAAGTCATCCGGGGCGAAGCCCGGATATTATGATATATAACTAATGGCTAACTATGTAAGGATGAATGTGAATGAGGCAAATATAGTAGTGACATCCAGAAAAAGCTCAAAAAACCGAAGGATCGCGTTTTTATGGCCTTTTTTTGCTGAAAAGAAGGTTTTTCTTCAAAAATTCAGTTAGAAATTAGGATGAAACTTATCAATCAACCTTTCTGTAGACTGCGATTGAGCGATGGAGGTTCATGAAAGCTGCTGGAATTCAATAAAAACAAGAAACTGCGCTGAAATCTTGCGCAGAGAGTCGCCACATAAATGCTGGTCTATCTCGTTATGGAGTGATTTTCAAGACCTGCGACGTTGTCAGTGCTCCTTGCCGTCTCATGAGGATCACATCGATATATAATATTATAGGGTTTTGTTATGACCCCGCGGAGATCAATGACCAGAGCCAAATGCCCCGCCGGCTCTGGTCTGTCTCCGCTGCTCGTCTGCGCCTCCG